CTACCTGCATAACAGCATCGGCGGCAGCCAATGTATTGTTCGGGAAAGGAAGACCTGAACTTTGCCCGAAACCAGGTTGATTCCACCCGAGAACCTGAGAAAGCGAAGCTCGTGACAGCTCATGGCAATGGGATTACAACAAATTATTTGGCAATGAACTCACAGAATAACCCATTTGAGCCGGGGTATTGGCAATCCCTATTTCATAATAACCTGCGTTTCCTTCACAAGAAATAACTAGTATGCGATTTCTGAAATAGCAAAATAGCAATACTCAGCGTGGAAGCAAAATAGCAATACCTCAGCGCGAGCAACCTTCAGCGCGCTTACTGGATGGAAAGCGCCGAATATAAGCTGGTGACCTCCCTCACAAGGAAAGGATGGTTGGTCGAAGTGGCCATTTAAGACAAGATGCATACACACTGATGCGTCTTCGGACGCTGATTTCAAATCTGCTTTCCATATCTGCTAAACGATTCTCTGAGCAGAGATATGCAGGAGGTTGTTGTACGGAGCACAATTGAGCTTGGTACATGACTCGTCACACGCAGTGCCTCGGTGGCCAGTGGGTAGTATGCCGCGCTCAAGTATGCGAGGTGAGAGGTTCGAATTCCTACATGGATCCGTCATTTTGCATTTTCTCGAAAATGCTGAGAGGTTCGAATTCCTACATGGACCGTCATTTTGCATTTTCTCGAAAATGCCTCCTGGACATCCGGAAAGCACTTCTGCGAGGCTAGGAGACCTGATTCTACCAAAAATTTTATTTCTGATGTGATAGAGCCATTCTGGAACACTCCTAGTGGGAACTCCTGATTGTTGGTTTCGGCGGCATTATTCGTTCCGTCGTGTTGTGAGGCCAAACTGATTCCAGATGGCATGGAAGCCAAAAGTGGATGTCGGGGTTGTTATCAGGGACGTCAGTAACCTACAAGGACCAAGATTTAGCGAGGAACCTCCATTGCTCACAGAGATTTGAATCGGCGATAGTGCCAGCAACCTTTAGGAATTGGCTGCCTATGGTTACCCCACTGTATCGAAAATAGGTCGAAATCTCAAATTTGGTTGAAAACTTGTCTCTAGGGCTAATTTGAGCCGCCAGAGCACGAATATCACACTCGTTCGGCGTAAAAACGCTTGCCAAGGACGTTGCAGGTTCCTGCACACCCTGCCCCTCCAGAATGCGTACAAGACGTTTTCACGAAATATAACTGCAGTATTGATTCCTAGGGCATCAAAGCACCTCTAATTCCAGATTCCAGCCAATTTGGGCAATTTGAGGCACTCATATACAGGGAGGGCCAAAACAAAAAAGACATTTCGACCGAGTCACATATCAGCAAAGTTTTCGCAGCCCAGACAGATGGAGGACGTGGATACGAGTACCAGGGCGGAGGATACCCAAGATGTTCCTCTACAAGCAGGAGCTGGCTCTCGCCCATCACCTTCATGTACACCAAAATATGAAGTCATCTCCAGCCGCAACCTGACTGGAGAAGACCTTTGGAATTCATGTCACCTCCAAACAGCTGCGAAACTTCTAGTATGGAGTCACCCATGGATAGCTACCTGGAGACCAGCACTCTCGATCTGGAAGACCTCCAACATCGAGCAGCTCCGACAACGTCGCCACGGTCTAGGACATCATCTTCACCGCAGTCGCCAAGGCGCGGGTTGATGGTATGGACCGGACGTACCTGGAATGGAAAGACCAATATTTTCTTCGTGGACCCCGGACTGAAGGTGAGCGCTGGCGGTTACATTGGGCAACTCGTGAAGAATATCCTCCTCACATGTGGTCGCCCGTACCTTCTTGGAAACTTTGTACTGCTACAGCATTGAGTGCCACCACATGAAATCGAAGGGCGTTGGAGAAACCACCTGCCTACTTGCAATGGAAGGGCGTTGAGTACCTGAAGAAGGTGGATTCTAAGCAGGTAACCTGACTTAACCCCTCAATTACCTGGTTCGGGCGGAGTTCAATAGGGTGGTCTACAGTGGCGGAGAAATCAACGATCTCGCTGAACTCACGCACCCACTGACGGTCGCGTGGCAGAATCTCTCGATGGCGCTCCTCCAGAAGGCTGTGGCGGAGTATCATGATAGTATTTGATATGCTCTTTAATATGGTGGTAGAAATGTCCGATAAGAATTTAATAAAGTGTAACTTATAGCGCCTCGAAAGTCGAGGAAGAAAAAAGTTTTTTTTGGCCCCCCTGTACATGCTGGAAATGGGTGTGACCTGGTCAAAAATTCTGCATAACTTTGTCCAGGAAATCGTTTAGCAGATATGGAGGGCAGATTTGTAATCAGCGTCCAAAGGCCCATCGGGCAGTATACGTCTCATTTCGAATGGCCACTTCGACCAACCATCCTTTCCTTGTCAGAAAACCAGTTTTATCATTTGATAAGTGGCGTGCACTTCAAATCAAGTATTAGGGGTGCGGAAAGTTGTGAAAATTTCCAAGCAGTTCGCATCATTTATTAAAAACAATAAGAGATAGAAATCGACAGTTGTAATAAACATTGTGCTTTCCATTTCCCTTGAAGGCAGCTGGCACGATAAATTCTTAAAAGGGAATAGGATGAATACACGTGGCCCTATCAAACTGCATCATACCGACCTGGAGTCCACCGCTCCCGCACGCCCACAAATGGTCGACCATACCTGATGCTTGTACAGCTTCATCTGCTAAGTAAAATATGAAGCTCAGGGATTGATATGAAGCGGCTGCGGTGTTGCATGGATATATGAGTGCATACGTGCAGCCGTATCTACCGCAGCAATTATTGGCAGGCCTGCACGAAGAACCTCATCTAAATTACTTCCTGAATCATGAAGAACGAAGGCTTCTTCGCGAGGTTTTGACCGTTTCACTTCATTTCTCCGCCATTTTCCCACTATATAGAACCGTGCCAGCATTTTAGACCGAGTACCGAATCATCGTGCCATATGAGTAAAATTATTCTGCATGAAAGCTAGGCTGAAACTGGTACCGACCTCTCCTAAAACGCCGCTCGAAGCTGGAATTCAACACCGCAGTACAGGTTGAAAGGTAATTTCACGGAGTGTTCCGGCTAGCATTGGCAACTGCGCCTTATCCTTGATTTTGCTGATAGAGCAGCCCAAAAGGCGCTTGCTATTTTTCTGTTAATGTTCATTGAACCACAGATTAGAAATAATATCAACCAGCGTACTTAAAGTCCATCCCGCGACCCCACAAAGTGTTACGGTAGTAGGTGGCTCAAATATGAACAGTAGCCTCATAAGTAACCCTGGTATAAAAAGAAAAGGAGAGAGGAATTAAAAGAAAAAAAGCGAAAAAAACCTTGGGAACGCTCTTAGCAGTGTGGGGGGAGGGGCTTAAATGAGTGTTGGCGGACGTTGGCAAGCCTAGTCAGCAGGGTTCGACGTGCAACCAATTCCCGGCAAGGCACAGGAAATCACACTACGACGCTCCACGCTACGCTACCCACGCGATTCCGCTTGTGGGCCGTTGTCTCGCTGAGTGAAAGTAATCGCGGTTGCAATTGTTGCAATAATCACGCGCCTCTAGCTTTTTATTTCGAAGATTTTCAAGTGACCAGAATGGCATATTCTGTGCGAATGCGAATAACGAATGCGAATGCGAAATGCACGGAGGGATTTAGCAAACCACCTGGTCGCAGAACTGTCTTTAATCTACAGTCTTTCTCATAGCTCTCAGTGCTATACGATTTTGCGTCGGCGCATTGCTCGCTACGCTCCTTCGAACAAAAGAGGCTGAACTTTTCTCAAAACCTACACTGGACAATTCGAATTATACTTAGCGCTTGAATCTCGCTATATAAGCTACACCTCTGTTTTAATAATTAGCAGACAAGCCCTCACCTATGCTCGGGAGTCTCTTCTCCACGTATATACATCGTATCAATCAGGTCGCCTTCAGTCGATCTGAGCCATGCTCTTTTGCCATGCTAAATAGCTTTTTGTGTATCACACGAAAAACTATTCAAATACGTTTCCAGACTTTGAGACCAAACTCTCCCACCTTCGCTGATACCATTAAATTCCTTGCTTGTAATAAGCTTCCACTCAAAAGCCAGTTCAAAAGCGAAACTGATATCCTGGATAAAGCATGTGCCGACCGAAAGCATGTACTGCGTACCAGGCGGCGCACATTACTAGAGGACCACCTGTAATGCAAAATGTATGAAAATGTATCGAGCGTATGAGCTAAAGCTGGTTGCACTCACTGTCTCCAGATGCCCCTCGATGAAAATACAAGTTTTCGTTTCGAACAGCATGAAAATCGGCGTTAACGCCTTCGAGATCAAAATCGTAACGCTTCAGCGCCTTTAAAAATAATTTCTAAAAAATAGCCACATCTAAAAACGGCAAAGCTAACTTTGATGTGTTCATTTTTTCATTTTGTTGCTGATTCATTTTGAGGGTTTCATGTCCACCATCCAGCTTGTTCCCCCTGGGCTTGTTCTAATTGGCATACATTGTTATTGCAGTAAGTTTTTTGCATGACACCCGGCAATGATCGAAGCAACAAAACAGCATCAAAACTGAAGTTTCTGAGGATAAAACGAGCATGTGTCCTCATACTTACTACGCTTGAATATGGTTGTTTTGTTCAAGGCTGACCTTGTCGTAGGCAAAAAGTCAACGTCCACAAGAATGTGCTTTATGCGAAGAGGTTGTCAGGCGAATTTTGCATTCGATTCACATTCTTAGGCGTTTTCAACAAAGGAAATAAATCGTAAAAGCAAGTCGAATGTTCATAACTACTGCCAAACGAGATTATTAGATGAAGCCTTTTATTGGCCTAATGTTTTTGACGCTTCGCGTCTTCTTCAAAGGCCCAAGATTTCACCGTGCAGGAGCATCATCAGCTGCACGCTGATGTTAGAGGAGCTAACGTAAGGACGAAGAGAGTAAGTCGTCTTTACTGTTCCTACTCCACCGGCGTGAGCGGTGCACGTGAGACTACGGCCTCTTGAAGAAGCCGTCACGCTGGAGAAGGTCCGAACATTAGCGCCCAGAAAGGTGCATCTACAACTTCGTTCGCAGAAGTAATTGACATTTGATCCTGCCATGCCGAGGTTACAGGAGGGGACAACGTAGAGATTTTTAAAAGCAAGAAGACGAATCATTCCGGTTTGCTTTTAATTATTGTTAACATACCACGGAAAAGTCTACATGTCGGCCTAGCCAGATGCAATGAGCACATTTGTAGACGTCTTCAAAGGGTGAACCCCAATCCGTTTCAAATTAGCGGAAACAGCCTCTCTGACAGGAGTTTGGAGCTTTCTCCCGCGTTTCTCTTGAAGGCAGATGTCCACCCTCTAATAATCCCGCTATAACGGTTGTGAAATTGCGTATTCAGAAGGTCTAATAACCTAAGGAACGGCACTCCAGCGAAATCTGAGATTTTCATTCAACTTCGAAAAAGTGGGGTTGGAACGCTGAGTAAGAGCCCACAGTGGTCTAGCCAATCACCGACTGGTGTACGAGGTGAATCGACACACTTTATAACATGTTTCGCAAAAAGGACAATAACTAGCTCACGTGTTATTTGCATCATTTCTTGTTTACTTTATTTTCTGTTCGGAGGGAACTTCACGCTAGGAATAGCCATCGATGACCTGTTAGCAAGCCATTCACCCACTGTGTACACTACTTTTTCGAAGTTGTTCAAAATCTCAGTTTTGGCTAGAAACTCGTTCTCAGAGGTAATGATCCGCTGAACATAAACATCTGTTTTCTGAAAACCAAGAAGAACAACCTAAACGAGTGTCTGTCTATTACAAATGAATTCCTGCCGTTTGTATCAGAGTGCGAGCTGCAGTAAAGACCACAGGCGCTACGACAGTTTTAACTTATGCACTACATCGAGATAAATGAGTCTCATTCGTCTTTAGTAGTTCAATTGACACACAGCGTGAGCTAAGCTCCGCACGCTGAGAATCTCTTGAGTTTTTAGCATTTATTGCCAAGCGGGGAGGGCGTTTTTGTGTCGGGGTAGGTAACAAAATCAAAAAGCTCGAGCGAACTACCCCCCCCCCCCCCCCCCCCCCCCCCCCCCCCCCCCCCCCCCCCCCCCCCCCCCCCCCCCCCCCCCCCCCCCCCCCCCCCCCCCCCCCCCCCCCCCCCCCCCCCCCCCCCCCCCCCCCCCCCCCCCCCCCCCCCCCCCCCCCCCCCCCCCCCCCCCCCCCCCCCCCCCCCCCCCCCCCCCCCCCCCCCCCCCCCCCCCCCCCCCCCCCCCCCCCCCCCCCCCCCCCCCCCCCCCCCCCCCCCCCCCCCCCCCCCCCCCCCCCCCCCCCCCCCCCCCCCCCCCCCCCCCCCCCCCCCCCCCCCCCCCCCCCCCCCCCCCCCCCCCCCCCCCCCCCCCCCCCCCCCCCCCCCCCCCCCCCCCCCCCCCCCCCCCCCCCCCCCCCCCCCCCCCCCCCCCCCCCCCCCCCCCCCCCCCCCCCCCCCCCCCCCCCCCCCCCCCCCCCCCCCCCCCCCCCCCCCCCCCCCCCCCCCCCCCCCCCCCCCCCCCCCCCCCCCCCCCCCCCCCCCCCCCCCCCCCCCCCCCCCCCCCCCCCCCCCCCCCCCCCCCCCCCCCCCCCCCCCCCCTTCTGAAGAAGTCGGAAAGGAATGAAACGTTAAGCAATAAAAGTTTCATCTAACAACCCTGTTCGGCAGAGGTAACAGAGCTCCATTGCATGGAATGAAAGGGACACGTCAACCGTGCAGCCTTCCCCATGTTCATGAGCCAACTTCCCCGCTCTGCACCGACACATGGTCAGCACTTATGTTGATCTCTACACGCTTCAAATATCTTTCCATTGAATTGAACATATCTACTTGGCTTGAGTAGGAAGAAGAAACATCAGACACTGATATTATTTTAAATGGTAAGAGAACTTTAGCGAAATCGCGGAAACATACCTGATTATCCTCAGATTTACCCGAGCCTTTAGCTTTCAGCCATACGTTAATAAAATGCCGATACTCATGGTCCATCGTCCTACCAACAAGCCTTAAAATTTACGATAATGAAAAATTTTTTGATGTATGTTTTACGCTTGTCGAGGAGTGATGCTCTCGCTGCATCATCCGGCATTAAACGAGCTTTCGCGCTCTAAAGTGACATCTACAAGTAAAAGGTATGGCAGGTTCCAACCTGCAAGTACAAAGTATGCACTTTCACTCGTACTCGACTAGTGAATCCTTAATATTTCGCAGAGATCTTTTAGAGACAGTCCCACACTCAACCAGTTCGTAGACGTCCTTTCCTCGTACAAGTGGTCTGGTCGGCGCTGTTTATCGACAGGGGGTGGGGTAGAATGGTCCGACTGCAAATCCACTTGGTAACAACTTGTGACGCTGAAAGCTAGAGCGGATCGTTCTAGCCACCATCGCCACCAACGTGTCAGCTCAAGAAAACGCTACCTAGATGGGTCGACACATCTATGAAAAGCAAAATGCCCCCGTCGATAAACTGCGCCGGTCTGCTCCTTAGCCTCTATGACCTGTCCCACTTTCGCGGCTACTGTAACTAACGAAAGCGCTGTGACCTTCTATGCAGTACTGATGCTTCCCCAGTTGTCTCGCCCACCAAAACTCAAACGCTACTTTCTGCAACAAGTTCAGCTTTTGCCCTGCGTTTTTTTTTTTTGCTGTTGGATGGTGCCAGCACTGGATAACGCGATGGAACAACTAGTGGGCGTGACAGAGGTGGTAGGTCGTCACTTTGCCGGCATAAAACGAGTGGGTCCTGACAACTCGTACAAGGGATGCTTTTATGGGTCCTTACACTGTTCTCCACGAATCGCTTTTCCAGATAGCTATTTAACGGCTACTGTTGAATTGAACGGCTACTAGCCACAAATGCAATCGAAGGGTTTGCCTTCGACAACAGTTCTATATCGTGCATGCCTATTCTTGTCGATTTTAAAGTAAAGTTAACAGCTCCGGAGAATGCTGCAGCGCATAAATAGAAGCCTGAATAAAGTGACTTGTTCCAACAGCACTCACCTTCCACCGTAAGCTAGCACAGCTAAATACGTCGCGTATTTCAAAACGACCAAACCAGTGTGAATATTCAACGCCCCTCGGCTATAGAGAAAAATGAAGAGTATTGGAGAAAAGGCTAATGAAGTCGAAAAATAAAATAATCCTGAAAGCAAGTTTTACAGCAACCCTAAGGTAATACGGTGGATACCCACAGGAAAGAAATTTGACCTTACCTCTTCCTATAGACATGGAATAATTTCCTATAGATTCCACAACATTTGGTACACGCTCAGGCTGGCCAAACGTTCGATAAAACCGAGGACCAGTTAAAAGAGCATAGATACGCCCCATAACTTAAAAGAGCTTACATCGAGAATTTTCAATATGGTTTTCACATAGAAAGATATCAAAGGACATGGACCCCATAGACAGAAGCTCTGATAACAAAAATTCAATCTTTATTCTTTGTACAAGGGAAAGCCACAACAAAGTGAGGTACAGGAAAACAACAACATAGACTTTAAGGCGATACTTCTTCTTTGACGAGATCTTGGTCTAATGATTCTTTACTCTGCTCCTCACATGTGCTTTCCTTCTGATTACTTTGTTCGTTCTGAAAAACGAGGTTTGAGGTAGCACAGAAACACAATTTCATGCAAAATGGAAGGACAAAAAAGCAAATCAAATGGTACATGGAAAAATAAAC